TTTAGACTCCTTGACACACAGACGGTATACAACTCATGAGATCTTCTAATAACAACCTGTTTATTGGAAAAAGGATGGTGAGGATGAAGGACAGAATTCTGGAGAATACCAATATTTAAGGAGCGAGCTGAGGAGAAGGAATACTCTATAAAGACCAAGAAGAAGTGGTCAGAGAACTAGAGGAACAGGAGAAGACATTTCAAAAATTCCAAAAAGAGAGGGTTCAATATTGTTGATTACAGCAGAGGCATTTAACAAAATAAGATCTGAGAGTATTTATTGCATTTGCCTATCTACAGGTCACTTGTGTTTTTAGCAAAAGCTGGCTGAATGATGTATGCAAAGTCAGTGTCCAGCAATTTGAGAAATAGATTGCCCCACTGAAACTGTACTAGGTCTCAGCTGAATGTGTTAGGCCTCCCAGCCTCTAACAGAATGGACCCATTACCAGTTCACTACTTGGAAATGTGTTTTTAGTCCTACTTCCTTTGATTATTGCAAAACTTCAAAATAATTCAATAGAGCTATTGGATGGAAGTGGAGGTGGGTGGAGAGCATTCACCCACGCATAGGAGGAATGTGAAAGGCCACTTATGATTACAAGAACCAGAACTGAAAGGGCAAAGGAGAGTTTTTTTCAAGTCTGGCATAAAGTCTCCTTCTCAGAAACATTAAAATATGGAAACCCTACAGAATCCATCTTGCATTTCACTCTTTTTCCCTGTTTCATTGTTAATGAACATATACTAGATTGTCAACCGTGAGCAGGAAAGCATTTCCACTCGCACAGCATGTTATTTGCATGAGGCTGGTATTGTCATGTTTATGTGCCATGAAATCTGTGACTTGTCACATGTGACTATCATGTCAGCTTATTAACATGTCAGGGAGTGCAACTCCTGACCTTCACCTCAGAGGGGGAACTACATAGGGTGGGGGACATTCTGCTAGCCAGATGAGACAGAGTTCTGCCAGCTTCCAGTGCCAGGGAAACTCTAGACAATAATCAATACCAAACCTAACTATGAATAGGACCACCCAAGGACACATGGCTGGGAACCAAACCTCCCTCCTACCTTGGTCTGATCTCTTGGCAAGTTTCCTTGCTAGTTCCAGCTTTGCTCCCACCTACATGGGGAGGAATCCCCCAAACGGGAGTTATTTTAAAGAGGGTAGGGCAGAAAGAAGGGTTGGAAAGCCACTCTCAGATGCTGGAAGGGTCAAGAGGAAGAGGGTTCTGGTTAGTTACTTCACTTAGGGCTTCAAATTTTTAATAAATATTAATTGGTGGATGGAAGTCAAAGTGAAAGCTAAGGAAAGAGCTACACATGTTCAGAAATTTTGAGTTAGAAATGCTCTCCTTCCAACTCTTCCCTAAAGGAAGTCACATGGGGAAAGCAGAGTAGTGATTAAGAAGCTAAACAGGCCACAGCGTTCTCTGGGGCCTTCTGAGTTCCCAGGCCAGGCCTGCAGCCTGCTTTAGGGTTGAGCCTGTGCTCCCAGCCACGGCTTCTCCTCTGCTGACATCTTTCTGCCAGATGGTCGTTCTCGAATTCTAGAGGTGCTTGGCCCTCCTGGTTCTTGCAACCCGAGCCGAGAGAACTTTGATCCACCAATTTTCCCCTCCCTCCACCCCTCTAGCGAGCAGGGCTTGGCGCCTGGACGGCAAGGAGAGGCCAGGCGCGGCGACCCTTGCTGCCTGAGAAGGAGCTCCCTGGCCGCCTCTTTGTGCCCGAGCTGGAGCCTCGGCGCTGGCTCCAAGGGCTCGAGAGCCTGCGCGCGCCCCGCCAGCTGGCAGCAGGAGCCAAGGCCTTGCACCATTCACCGGGTGAATGCGCTCTCCGCTCCGAGAATCTGCCTGTAGGGTCATCCCCATGGTTTTTAATTACAATCCAGAATCTCAACAAATTACAAATGTTGTGTGTAAACATAATCAGGGTGAGGATCCAATTCACTAGTAATTGTTAATAGGAATAAAAAAAGGAAAACAAAAAAAACACAAAGACCCAAACAAGCAAAAAAAAAAAAAAAAGATCAATTCTGCGGGGTTTATACCTTGAGGATTTGCTTTCTTGGGGGCCCTTCCATCGCGTCCCCGCCGCCCAAGCTCCGGTCCCGACTCCCTGCGGTGATTTCGGGGCCGAGGCTGCAGGACTCTGGGGCTTGGTCTCTGCAGCGGAGGCCTACGGAAAGCGTGGGAAGGAGCCGCCTGCCGGAGGGAAGAGCCTCTCGAGTCTTTCGCGCCCCGCGGCCTCTGCAGGAATCTGTAAAAAGCGCGCCGGGGCAGCGAGAGGGAGCCCCGCCGCCTGCCTCGAGTCCCTGTCCCAACACCGGCATTTCCCTTTCCCTGGATACTCTGGGAGTCTGCCCTCGGGTTCCAGCTTCCGGGCTTGGAGGACACTCTGCTCTCCAACCCCGCAGTCTTCAAAGGCCACCCCAATTCCCGGAGCGGGACTCCCGGGCCGCCGGCCTCTCGAGTTGTTGCAGCGGGAGCCGCGCTGCGGGGCTGAACCAGCCCGGCATAGTCCGCCGCTATTTGAGCTCTCGGTCCGAGAGACATTTTGGGAAAATATTGTGCATAGAAATGTATATCCTATAGTATAACATATATATATACACACACACATATACATATTTGGTCGACAAATCTTAAGCAAAATGTGTCTTGGCGTCTTTGTTGAAACCGTTAGCATTCTAGCTGGTGTCGGTATGAACGGATGATATTATTACAGGAATGACAGGTGAATGATGTTAAGAGAGCGCCTGATCCCTCTGGAGAACACGGCGGGATATAAGCGGAGACGTCCGAGTATTTTTTCAACTGCCCATCTCTGACTTCTCTTTCCTGTCACCAGCTCTCGGTCACCAACCAGGCTGACAGCACACTCGGGACGAGGCAACTTCCTCTGAAGGGCGATCTCCCCCCAACCATCGGAAATCGCTGGGTCACCAGGGGAAGCCGCATTTCCCGGGGGTGTCAGAAGCCCCTGGCCCCTTACCCAGACCTTTGTCAAAAAGGGCAGTTTGGCCGGTGTGACGGACGAAAAGAAATGTTAAAATACAAGTGTGTAAATGAGGGTGGAGGAGGAGGGAGAGGCTAAGGCCTGCTCCAGTTCTGGGGAGATTCGAGGAGGCTGACCCGGCTGCGGTCCTGACCCAGCAGTGCCTCGCGCGACGTGGAGGGAAGGGAGAAACGGCCCCTCGGCCCTTTCCCCTAAGCTCGTCCAGCAGGACGCCGGATGAAAACCTCTCTGCGCGTTTAAGTCGCGTCCATTCGAGCCGGTGGCACTGACACGTGTGGCGCTCGCTTTAGGCTCCAGGAGACCGCGAGATTGGAAATCCCCGCGGAAGGCGGGGGACGCTCCCACTCGGTGCGGGCCCACCCGGGGGCCCGTCCACCTCCCACCAGCATCCCCTCCGCCCCGCCGCGCCGCTCGGCCCGGCCCAGACGCGGACAGATGTTTACTGCTTAGAGCCCCGACCGCTGGGGAGACGGAGCGACCGGCGCGGCGCACCGCGCGGCGCTGGCGGGGCTCTGGCCCCCAGTCGGGGGTGCGAGCGGGCCGAGGGGAGGGCGAGAGGATGGAGAGAGGAGGGGGGAGTGGGTGGACTAATGATGAAAAAGTCTCCTCCATCTCGGCTCCTTAATTAAATGCATGGAAAGAACCGAGGCGAGCACATCTGGTTTCAATCTGCAGCCCTTTGATGGCATCAAATGTTCTTTTCCCAGATCAGGGCTGGAAGTTCTGGGCTAACTCTGGCCGTTTGGAGCCCAGAAACCATTTACACACACTCGGACCCTTCTTTCTCTCCAGTCGAGCCTCTTAGCTATAGGAGGAAAAAAAGAAAAAAATCTAGTAATCAAGGGAGTGAGGGAGTATGTATATATGTGTGTGTGTGTGTTTAAAGAACATAAAAAGCCACAAATAAGCACTTAATATTTTACTTACTCGTCATATAGTAACTCATTTCTAATGAGACTATTAAAGCTGTTACCAAATTCCGACAGGTCATGAAAAAATCGCTCAGCACCTCTCTGTCCTCTGTCAAGTTAGGGCTCAGCAGACGGACGACCGAGCATTATCCGAGGACTTACATGGGGGTTCCTCCACCCCTCCCCGACCTTCCTCCCCTCCCCCACCCCCCAGGGCCCCCAGGCTGGACGCTGAACCCCCCGGGGAGCCTCGCCCGCTGCTGGCTCTAGGAGTGCCTCTGCCTCCTCCGCATCTGGGCAGCGCGACCCTCTTGGCTTAGCGTCGTCGCCTGGGGAAGCGACCTTGGCCGCACCACAGAGGTTACGAAATTGGCCAGGGTGGGGGAGGGGGAAGCAATTATGACTTACTCCTAGCGTCCTTTCTTCCAGCTAAATAAATATGTAAATTTCCTACTGCCCTGGCCGGGGACTTCTTAGCATCGCGGAGAGACTCGAATCGATTCGGCGCCTTCCACGTCTCCCCCAACCTGCCTTTAGTCGGCAGAAGAAGCGTGGGAGAGCCTCCCGTTATTATCGCGCCCGTTATTTTACTACGTTATTTAATAGGCTGTCTCTACAGAGCCAAACGTAGCCTTAATATGCTTGCTTTCTCCCTCAGACGCTCCTCCACCCCCACCCCCAAAAAACTGTTAGAACAGCAGGAAACGTTAAAAAAAAAGACAGAGGGAGAAGAAAATTTGATTGAGATAGTGGTGGATTTTTTCCAAAAAGTTTCCCCGCAGCTGTTATCAAAACATGCAAATGAGATTTTCCAACAGGATCTTAAACAAATCTGGAGGAGTTAATGCCGAAGCAAAATAATCAGCCCGTTTGAAGTGACTGTGGGTTTCAGTTCGTCTTTTCTCCCCGTGATACTATTGCAGGGGAATGATAATTAGAGCTTTACTTTAAAAATCCAGAGGGGCTCTCTCGCTTTCTCTTCCCTCCCTTTTCTCTCCCTCCTCCCTCTCTCCCTCTCTCGCTCCCTCCCTCTCTTTCCCTCTTGCTCAGATGTTGGCAAAGGGGGTTTTCTTAATCAGACTGTTTTTTGGTCCGAGGGAAAGGAGGAAGACGGAGATTGTGATGGAGAAAGAGGGTCTGTAAAACGTCAGGCACCGCACAAAGGCTTTGCCACGTAATTACAGGCTCCTATTAAGTCGAGATCTGCCCTCCCAGGGGTCTCCAATTTTCTTGTATTCCCTACAAAGCCTCCTCTGCATGCCAGTTTGTGCCTTTTGAAGTGCCAGAGAGCTTCTTGATCCAACTGAGAAGGAAAAAGGAGCTCAGCAAGAAGAGGGGGAGAGAGAGAAGGGAAAAGGGGCAAACCCACCACCACCCTCCTTCGGACTCTTGAAGACCTTTTTTTTTTTTCTTTTTTCCCCTCCTTACGAAAAGTAAAGTGAGAATCCTGCTCTCCAATACATCTGCAAGACATCACCCTCTCCTCCTGAAACTTTAGTCACTCCTGAGAATCCACAGGAGTGCAGAGAGGGGAACAAGTTTTCTTGAAGATGTTTTAAAGCTGGAACAAGCCTCTTCTGTTGGTGCTTGAACTCTTGCCTGGGAATAACTTTTTTAACCTTAAAAAAACCCACTTTGATTCTTCTTCTCTCCCACCCCTTCTTCTCTCTTCTTCTGTTTGCCTAACTCCCCCGCCCTGCTGGCCTCCCCTTTCCTCTCTCCCCCTTATTATTTTTAGTGTGTGCGTGTGGACGCTTTTGGAGAGCTCGAAGGAATTTTTTTCTCCTGACTTGAACATAGGGTGACTTTTTAATTTTATTTTTTGGTGTGGATTATCTCTTTGGACCGCGCCGGACTTGGCCTCAGGAAAGCAACCGAGGCTGTCGAAGGCTGCTGGTGCAGAACGCTCTGCTCTGCAGAAGGGGGTCCCCCGCCCTCTTTTCACTTTTTTTTGTCCTTCCCCTCCTCTCTCTCTCTCTCCACTCCCCCCTCTCTCTTCCCCACTCGGCTCCTCTCCCCCCTCGCGCCCACAGCGTTTGGTGTTGATTCGAGCGGGAAGAGGGGGGTGGGTGGGATCGGAGGGGGAGACCATGACCTCCAGCTACGGGCACGTTCTGGAGCGGCAACCGGCGCTGGGCGGCCGCTTGGACAGCCCGGGCAACCTCGACACCCTGCAGGCGAAAAAGAACTTCTCCGTCAGTCACCTGCTAGACCTGGAGGAAGCGGGGGACATGGTGGCGGCGCAGGCGGACGAGAGCGTGGGTGAGGCGGGCCGGAGCCTACTGGAGTCGCCGGGACTCACCAGCGGCAGCGACACCCCGCAGCAGGACAGTGAGTGAGGGGCGCATGCCCGCGGGGTTGTGTGTCCGGAGCGAGGGCGGGGGTCCGGGCTGGGCGGCTGGAGGCCGCCCGGGGCCAGGGAGAGAAAGTCGGGAGACAAGGAGAGGTGGTGGCAGTGGCCGGAGGAAGGGCCGGCCACAGAAGGGGAAACAGGATGAGAAAAGGAGGGCTCCACCGAGGGAGTAGCCAGGGCAGACGCTGGAGGGAGGCTCCGAGGCCCTGCGGTCCGGGTCCGGGACTCTGCCCGCCGGCAGCGGACTCTCGCTGAAGCCGATTGGGCTGCCTCTCCGTCCCGGGCGAGCACGGCGCCCAGATCTTCCCGCCTGCGGGGCGACAGGGCTGGGCTGGGAAAGGGTCCCAGAGGGGTGCAAACTAGGGAAGCCCGCCCGGTTTGGGAAGGCAGCGGGTCAAAGATGCTGAGTCGGGTCGGGAGGGCTTCTCCCAGGTGGCGTGTGCGGGGTCGCGGGCAGACCGGCCCGAGGGGGCGGCGGGAACCGAGCACAGGGAGCGAGACCGCGCTGCCCCGCTGCGCACAGCGCGCGGGCTCCGAAAGCCGGGCCGGCGGGAGCGGCCGCGCTGCAGCGCCTGGCCCGAGCAGCCGGAGCTGCTCTCCGTCCTCTGCTGTTGCCTCCACCTGCAAATGGGTTGGAGGCTCCCGGCAAGGTCAAACGCCTGAATGACTCGGGAAGATTCAGGCGAAGCAAAGGGAGTGTCCTTTAGGGGTGAAACCCGAGCTCCTGTCCCGCATGATCCTGCACAAGAGAGATGCGCTGGGGGAGCGCCGGCTCCGATGCTGAGCCCGGTGTCACATTCGAGGAGCTGTCCCTATTGGCCCCAAGACCTCCAGAAAAGTCCACGCACAGTCCATCTTCCGCATCCTCCTCGACTGATATCTTGCCCCCATGGAAATCCAGCCTCGCGTTATTAACCGTGCCTTAAATGTGACTCCAAGTGTATCCATATGTCCCAGAATCTATAACAGACCTGTCACCTGGCTTATCCCAGGTGACATGGGACTAGATATTTCCTTCTCAAAGTTGCAGGAGATTGAACTTGGCTGGAAGTTTTAAAACGAAGCTGATCCCTTTCCATACTATTATTTGCTGACTGCTATTTTATCTTCATATTTGGAACCTGCGGAACCAGGGGGCCGGCAGGCATTCTGTCATTTCCAAAAAACATTGCCAATGTTAGACTCTCAGAAAATAGATAGACAAAGCAAACCCGACCCAGAAACAGCTGGAAGCAAGGCCTGGGCAAAGTGGTGGGAGCACTGGAGGGGGGTGGGGGCGCCGGGATAAAGTAGGCCGCAGGGAGAGCCCCTTTCTCCCATAGGCCTCCAGCTCCTCGTCCTGCGTCCTTGGTCCAGGCCTGGGCTTCCCTCAGTGTTTTTTACCCAAAAGCCCACTAGGGCTGATCCACTCTACTACTGGCAAAGGCAGAAGGCGGCGGGGAGTCTGGCCTGGCCTGTCACTAGAGAAAGATGGCCAGCTCTGAGGAGTGAAGACCCAGCGTCCTCAAGTCCTGCGTAATGGCTAGGTACAGAGGCACAGGCGTCCTTGAGGGTTTTGGTGCCTGAGGGAGCTGCTCATGCTGCGCGGGCAGACAGCATGAGTTAATTGTTTGCATAGACATTTTTAGCTCCAAGAAATTGCACTGCGAAATAATATGATTATTTTAAAAAGTTTTACTAGGGAAAATTTAAACATATAAAGAGTAGAGAGAACAGTATTCTGAATTTCCATGTGCCTGTCACCCAGCTTCACTAATTCTGCACATTCTGCTGTTCTTGTTTCGCCGTGGCTAATTATTCATCGTAACATTTATCACTGTTTGGAGAACTGGAGGCTGGACCCACAACAGGGTTCTTCTGGACCCATGAAGAAACGGGCGGGAGAGACCAGCCACTGTTGCTTTGCCCCAAGAGCAAGCTAAGTGATGTGAAAAGCAGGCCCAAGGCCAGTGGCCACGGCAAGCCCTGGGCCCACGCTGGCCTTGGTGGGTGCTAGATACTACAGGACTGGAGGGATGCTGACCGTTCCTGTCGTTTGGCTCCGAGTGGATGCCGAGAGTAGGAAGCTCGGGTTCGTGGTGGCCTTCTAGTGGGTACCGAGCAGGCTAGGCCATTTGGGAAGCGCCGGCAAGCTGAGGCAGAGGCGGCACACGGTGGCGAGGAGGCAGCCCAGGGATGGCTCCTGCGAGACACAGGCCTGGCGCAGCCGAGGCTGCACTGCGCACGTGGCAACCGCCAGGGCAAGCGAGGACAAGCAAAGCATAGCTGGTGGAGTTGGGGACTGTGTGTCCAGAGGGAAGGGGATGAGACCTCTGGGAACATGCCCGCTTGATACTTCAGCAGATTTCGGAGTTTCAAGGAGTAATGAGGCCTAGTGGACCCCCAAAGGAAACTGAGGTTCAGAGGCCAGCCAAGGAGAGGATGCTTGAGGAAGCTTGATGGACATACAGTTCTGGAAGGTGGAAGAATGCAGAGCAAGGTGATGGGGAAGAAGTGACCGACACCTGGGGCTGGGAAAGTAGCCCAGAAAGGGCACACACACACACACACACACACACACACACACACACCACACAACAGGCCTTGCTTTCTAGAGATGGCCAGGCCTATTCTAGCAAATAGCTGTTGCTTTTAGAAGCAGTGTTTCCTCAACCTCCTTCTCCATCTCTGGGATGAGAATAGGAGGGTCTGGTAAATTGGGCGATAGCAAGTACCCAGGAGGACCCGTGTCCTTAGTTCTTGGGCCCCCACCAGGAGTTGCCCAGGAAGCTGTTGTGAGCTACTTGGAAGTCAGGACCGGTGGGGCCACCTGGGCCTCCAGTGTGCCGTGGACAGTGAGGCTGAGACTGTGCATCAGGGTAGAGAGGAGTCTCCAGGCAGAGAGCTAGAGCGGGGCTCGGAGCCTGCAGGGACAGAGAACCGCGCCAAGAGTCAGGCGCTCCTTGCAGCCTGCTGGGAATCTCCTCCAGAGTGGGAAGCCATTATCTCCTTCAGAAAGATGGGGGACATTTAGAAGACATCTTTTACTCATCCAGCTATACAGAAACAGATCCTTCCTAAATTTTCTTTTTGGCTGAAATTAGTAAAACAGACTCCATTTACACCTGCAATATTAGATCACTAATATTAAACATTTTCAAAATGCAACCTGGGCCGACCTTAGCTAAGTACTGTTGGAAGTGAGGGCTTCCTGCTGATCTCCTGCACCCTCCACTGCTATTCTGTTTCCCCTTGGGTTGACATTCATTCCACTTTCCTATCTGTAGAACGACTTCTTTTCCCTTTTACTGATTCTCCCAGCCCAGTAAAATTTTTCAATCTTCTGGGTTCAAATACCTCATGTGTTTGAAGAAAGGGTTTTTTAACACTGTTAGGAATCCAGTGGCTAATGGGGGAGTGTGGAGTGAAGGGAGGTAGTGGTAGAACAGGGTAGTCAGGGAGAGGAAAGAGGAACAGGTCATAAAAATAGGCAGACCGGTGCATCCCGCTGTCATTTCTTAATCTGAACTTCTGCAAACTCTCAAAGAAAAAAAAAAAAAAAGCGCCTGCCTTCCACGTTCCCAAATTCTAAATTAGTGAAACCAGATTGTCCTAATAAGACCGTTTGTTGGAAACACATGTAGTCATAAAAAGGTAGACGGAAAGTCAATTAGACACGCGCGCACACGCACACACTCACAAGCCGGTGCTAAGTGTGACTGGGTGCAGCTGGGCCTCGGGCCGCGGCGGGACGCAAATGCAGAACAGCGGCGCGGGAAATCGATTTGTCACAAAGGGAGAGGTGTAAACGCGGCGCGAAGGAATCGCCCGCCCAAGCCGCGCTCCACAGTCCCTGGCGCCCAGCTCCAGGCAACTCCTCAGCGCCAGAAAAATGCCCAGGGGAGCGGGAACATTCTCTAGCGCGCTCATCAGTTGGAATTCGCATCAGAATGTCAATTCCCGTGGAGTTTCAGCATTTGCAACTACTATGGCGCCAGAAATTTTCTTGTGCGGCACCACCCTGGGGCCCTGTAGCCGGTGCGGGCACTCTGAATCTGGGCCTCAATTTTCTCGATTCAAGGGGGAGCCAACGAAACATATCCTTTTAAGAGTAGCCTGAAAAAATTTTCTCTTTAGAGGAGGCAGTGAAATCCAGGATCAAAGGAGGTCACTGAGTCCCCAAAGTCGAACGTCAAGTCCAGAGAAGAGTTGGTGAATCCTGTTTATCTTACATACCAGGGCAGGGGACTGAATGGACTCCTCTTAATATTTTGGAGCAATTGACAATCTAGTGACTCACACCCCCTCTGGAGCCTAGGGCCCCTTGGAGTTTGACGTGTCGCGGGGCTGGGCCTGTAAAGTCCGAGGCCCCAGACTGCCAATATCCCTGGGCTTCAGATCCCCCAACTCGAGGAGACAGTGAGTCACTGCCTCCATCGTTCCTTTCACCGATGAAGCCCTTTCCAAACTCCGGAGCGCCTCTCCCGCACCTTAGGCGTTGCGCAGCCATGCATTTTGGCTCGGCGACCTTAACCTTTTCCCAGGCACGCTCAGGTCAGAGTGTAGGGGCGTCAAGCGGGCAGCAGTGGGTCACATGGATCCCTGCAGTTCCTTCGTCTTCCCAGGGGCGTCATTTTAGATTTTACAACACGAGGGAATAAATCATCTCCAAACCAACAAGATGTCACCCTACCTCCTGTCCTCTGAGAAAACCCCCCAGCAACTTCAGAACCAACAATACCTTCTACTCCAGTGGCTCAGATCCGCTCAGATCCCGGTTTTGAACGTCGCTCTGGGCCAGCAGCCACCTCCGGGACCCTTTTTCACTTTTAAAGGGCATCTGTAGATTTTCAACTACGAGGATCCCTAGACCAATTTGATTTTTATTTTAAAAAGACATGTTTCTTTTACAATTCCTCTGCTATACCCTGTTTACCCGCTCCCTCCTTCTGCAAGGCGTACCACCAAAGCAAACCTCTCGCCCGGGGAGAACCGTCCT